CCGGTCTGTATGTGGGATCCGAACCCTCAGCGGGAGCGCCGCCGTGCTCCCAAGCGGCGCACTGTAGCAGTGCGCCACCAGGCCAGCCTGGGGCCTAGTTCATTTACTTTAATACAATAAGAATGTTGGTTAACTTAAAATTCCAACAGAACAAAGGAGCAAATAAGAAGTAAAGGAAGATGACTGAGAGTAGGAGGGCATAATATTGTTACAGGCAGGTATGAGAAACAGGATGTGAAAGCTGAAAGCAAGAGAAGCAAAGGAAATCTGTAATACTTCAACCATAAGAAAAAAACGAAAAGCAAAAAAACTCAAAACATAAAGAAGCTTAGGGTCATATAGCATAAGGGTGAACACTTGTACAAGCTTTAGCAGTCCCTTCTAATAGATGTTCAGAACTATGACAGTGAGCCAGTAAGAAAAGGCTACCTTATGTTCAGCACGTTTCATTGAAGGCAAGAAAATGTGCTTTAAGGAGCACATTTAAGTTGCATACCACAGTTTCTATATTACATTACATATTCTAACTAGATTCTTTGCATTAAATAAAATTATACTTTAAATGTTAAGTTTCTAAGTAATATGCCAAAATAGGGTTTAATGAACAATGTTTAAAAGTTTGGGCCGGCCCGGCGGCGCACTGCGCTAGTGCGCTGCTTGGGAAGCGTGGAGGCGCTCCCGCCGAGGGTTCGGATCCCACATACAGACCGGTTCCCGCTCACTGGCTGAGCGAGGCACGGGGGCAACACCAAGGGTTGCGATCCCGTTGCCGGTCCCGGTCCGGTACGGGGGCGACACTGAGGGTTGCGATCCGTTGCCAGACACGGAAAAAGACAGAAAAAAAAAAAAAAAAAAAGTTTGAGGGAAAAAAATTACTACCAATATTTGTCTCCTGGCCATAAAATTAGGCCTGGCCTACAGTTTTAAATCTTAGACACCATTCATCTAAAATGATCAAAACAATTAAAGGATACCTTATTATGAAAAGAAATAGGATTAGAGAAGAGGTCAGTGACAACTTTAACACGTAAATCTGAAAGTGAAATCATAAATGCTTACTTGGAAAAGATGGCATTTTATTACCTTTTCAGTCTCTAAAGTTTTATTTTCAAATATGAATGAGATGCAATTTCTAACAACTTCCAGTCTCTGTGCACTGTTGAAAACTGTCGTCACCTTATCCATTATTGAAACTAGTAAGGGAATATGAAGAGAATACAAATAAATTAAACTTCTTTGGCAATTACAAAAGAAAAGTGACTATTACTTTAAGACTGCTTACCCAACCAACACGTTAAGAGTTTATTTTTTCCCTTGTTACATGGAATTGAAGGTATTCCATTTCATTATTTTGATTACATTAAGGTTTTGAAATGTCAAGCTAGTCAATGGATAATTTCACAGGATAGATTCTAACGATACACTTAATCTTATGCAAATTAATTCATATTGCAACATAAAGTTAAATAAAGGTAAACATCTATTTAAAACTTTAATTGTAAACAAAGTGATAGGAAATGTTTGAGGTACAGTATTTAAAAAAAAAAGCTAATGCTCATATGCAAGAGGATCACTGACATAAAATGAAGTTGATATTTCTAAGATTTTACGAAAGAAAAACTACATACCACAAAAATTAGGTACTACATATATGAGTACAGGGAACTTGAAGGGAAGAAGCAGTGTCAAAACACAGTCACGATCGTGGCGAATGAACTGCTATACTGGCTTAGGAAAGTCACTGTTCAGTCCTGAGAACTTAGCACCTTTCACCTTTTACCATACGGTTGGAAAAATATAGTCCATTACATAGGCTAATGTTACCTAAATAAATTTAACTTATTAAACAAATATTAGAAGGATATAAATGAAAGTAATATTTGTAAAAAGAAAAGTATACTTTCACAAAGAACTACACTATATCATTTGAACAAATGAGGTAGTACCGATAATTCTTAAGCCAAAAAGAAAGATTACTTATATTTCATGGCTGCTCTTTGGAATCAAAAGGAACAATCCCTCTCCCCACCCCAATACCTAAAAAGAAAGACTATCATATTTTACTTATTAGCAGCCCTTTCATCTCATCAATACAAAATCTTATATTCTTCAACTAATGTTCTAAACTTTTTTACCTTAAAATAATTATAGGCTCACAAGAAGCTGTAAAAATAGTACAAAGAGGATCCATGTACTCATCACATAGCTTCTCCTACAGAGACATCTTACATAATCATAGTGCTAATGTTCTAAACTTTTTTACCTTAAAATAATTATAGGCTCACAAGAAGCTGTAAAAATAGTACGAAGAGGATCCATGTACTCATCACATAGCTTCTCCTACAGAGACATCTTACATAATCATAGTGCTTTATTAGAATCAGGAAATCAATTGGCATAATACAACGAACTAGACTATAAACGTTACCCGGATTTTATCAGTTTTCTTTAAGTCATTTTTAATCATGTAACATTAATTTTCTGCATGACCATGATAGTTAAATTGATTATTTCACATGACTGTTCTGTCTGAAATGCTCATTCTTAATTGTGGGCTGTGGTGTTTCCCACGCATGTATGTCTGTGGCATAGACAAATAGAAATCTATCTGTATTAGAACAGAAAAGTTCTTACAGTCTCCAAATAATACCACATACTTCATTGAAAGAGCAAAATCTTTAAGTTATGTTTACAAACTTTTAATTCTAAAATCTCTTTAGCAGTATTTTAAATTTTCTTTAGGCTGAGCTATTAGAAAACACATATTTTCTTACAGTGAATCTGTTTACCATTTGCGAATTATTACTTTCTTTTGGAGAACACGACTTAATTCACATTTCATAATTATAAAGAGATCCATCACCAGGATGCTATAACACTTGTAAGCATATATGCATCTAATAAATCAACTTCAAAATATATTAAGAAAAACAGGGATAGAACTAAAATGAGAAATAGGCAATTCCATTATTATAATGGGGGTCTTTAACACATCTCCCTAAATAGCTAAAAAAAGAAGAGAGAAAAATCAGTAAAAAAAGATAATCCACAGAATGAGAAAATATTTGCAAATCATATGTCTAATAAGGGTCTTGCATACAGAATATATATAGAAAACTCTTTCAACTCAATAATAAAAAGATAAATGGCCCAATTTAAAAATGGACAAATAGGCATTTCTCCAGGGAAAATATATAAGTGATGAAAAGGCACATGAAAAGATGCTCAGTATCATTAGAGGCTGTGGAGAAATCAGAACCTTAGACATTGCTGGTGGGAATGTAAAATGGCACAACTGCTTTGGAAAACAGTTTGGCAGTTCCTCAAAACATTAAACACAAAATTACCAGCAATTCCACTCCTAGGTATATACCCAAGAGAACTGAAAACATGTGTACACAAAAAGCTGCACATGAAAACTCACAGCAGCATTATTCCTAATAGCCAAAAAGTAGAACACAAATGTCCAAAAACTGATGAATCAATAACAAAATGTGATATATGTATATCCATACAATGGAATATTATTCGGCCATAAAAAAGCAGTGAACTACTGATATATGCTATAATATGAACAAACCTTGAAAATATTATGTTAAATGAAGGAAATCAGTCACAAAAACCACATATTATGTAATTGTTTATATAAAATGTCCAGAATAGGCAAATCTATGAAGATAGAAAGGAGATTACTACCTAAACCTGGGGAGGAGGTGGTTTGGGGAGGATATGGGGAGTGATGGCTAATGGGTACAGGATTTCTATTTGGGTTATGAAAATGTTCTCAAATTAATCAATAATTGTTGAATAACTCTGAATATACTAAAAACCACTGAATTATACACTTTAAATAGGTGAATTTATGTTATATGAATTATATCTCAATAAAGCTATGATTAAAAAAAGAAAAGATTCTATAGGGGCAGCAGTTAGGTTAATGATTACTTTTTGTGGGAGGTAGTGAATGGAACAGGGTTTCTGAGTGTTGATAATGCTCTGATTCTAGGTACATGAGTTTGTTCACTTTTGAATATTCATCAAGTTGTACACTCTTCTTTTTTGAGTCATATCTCGATAAAAGGTTTTACTTTTTTTTTTTTTTTTTGGTGGCTGGCAGGTACAGGGATCTGAACCCTTGACCTTGGTGTTAAAGGTTTACTTTTAAAACAGAGGAACAAACAAACGGACAAATACATACCAACAGGTGGACCTGCTGGCACAACACATTTCTTTTCCACTCGTGTAGCAGGAGGTGCATTCTGGTTCTTAGCAAGATTTTCCTGTATTAATTCCTGAACCCGGGCTTCATTAATCTTTGGGAAAGGAAGAATATGAACTCGCAAGTGGGATCCTTCTGTTGGGCGTGGAACTTTCTGGAATGCCATATGAGGGTTTGGATTCTCCTGCAACATCAGATATAGGTAAAATTATTCAAAAGATAACAATGGCAGACCAGCAGTTAGGGAGTGGGAGCTCAGAGGAACACAAGCTGAAATCTGACAGATAAGTGGTGATATATACATTCATATATATGCCATAAAATACAGAGTACCAGAATCTTAATTCTTCTTATACAACTTAGCAGCAGCATCTGATATAGCTTGTCACTTGTCTTCTTCCTCTTCTTCTTTCTTCACCTAATTTCTAGGTCTTCTTGCTATGTCTTTGTTTCTCTTCTCCCTAATCTTTTAACTATGTGATTACCTCAGAACCCAGTCCTTGGGCCTCTTTTCTATTAATACTTCTTTGGTGATCACTTCCAGTCTCCTATCTTTTTTTTTTTTTGTATACCCATATATTTAACCACCTATCTACACATAGAATTTCCACTGGATTTAAAATAACATCATAAATTTATGTCCAAAATGAAGCTCTTAACCTTCACCCACCTTTCAACCTGCTTTATTTGGTCTCCCCACTTCAGCAGATGGCATATTTATTTTTTCTAATAACTCAGGTGACAAGCTTAGAGTCATCTTTAAAGCCTTTCTCTAACACCATATTATCCATTTCTCTGCAAATGATGTAAACATTACTTTAAAATGTTTATAACCTGACCACTTTTCATCAACATCTTGGTTCAAGCCAGTATCTGCCTATCACAATAATACAATAGTCTCCTAACTGGTGTCCCTCTTTCCGCTCTTACTCCCTCCTTCAACACTGTAGACAGAGTGATCTAGTTAAAATATGTCAAATCATCACCTAACTACTTTGATTATTTGAATGGCTTTTCATCTCACTCAGAGTAAAAACCAGAATTCTTAAAATAATTTACATGGCCCTACAAGATGTAGCTTTTCTATGTGACTGTGTCCTACTACTGATCCTTTAATTCATTCTGTTCCGGACACACAGGCCTTTTAGTTCCTGCCTTAAGGCCTTTGCACTTAACTGTTCTCTCTGCCTGGAATGCCTGTGCCACATGAATTTGCATAGCAGTCTCCCTCTCTTCCTGCATTTCTTTGCTCAAATGTCATCTTTCCTGGCCACCCTATGTAAAATTATTCCCCCCAACACACTCCCTATCCCCATTATATTTGTCTCTTTAGCACTTACCTCCCTCTCACTACTATAAATTTTATTTAACTTTTATTGTCTATTTTTCTCTCACTAAAATGAAGCTCCATGAAGGCAGATATTTCAGTCAATTAAATTTTTTTTCTTTTGTCCGCTGCCTAAACCTATTCCATGTAGAAACTGCCCGGCACATAGCAGGCACTCTATACTGCATCTTAATGAGTGGGACACACATCAGGATTGCCATAATTGAATTAAATGTGTCAGTTAATATTTTCACGGACAATTAGGGCTGGCATGAACTTTTTATCTAGCCACCTGGTTAAGTAGGATTATATTTCAAATACTACAGGCAGGGTGAAATCCATCCTTTCTATATTAAGTGCTCTAGGGAAGGCTGCTTTAAAACCATTCTTAGACCAATTCTAGCATTTATTATCCTCTGCAACCAGAAAATTCCTCATTCCCACTGAACCTATGTTATTCATGATGTAGATTAAACTCAATACTAACCCCATACATCCTCCTGACAGTTAAAAATCGTCAACAGACATCATCTATCAGAGCTGCTCTCTGCAAGTCTTTTTGGTTATGTGGCCCAGACCCAAACAAAGAAAAGGTTGGGCTACAGATGATATAGTCAGCATATCTCAGCAATTCAATGGAAATAATACTGCTTTAAGTGTCAAAAGCCCTGGGTTCTAGTTCTTGCTCTACTCATTACTGTATGATGCTGGACAAATAACTTTGCCTAAGGTATACATATATACTTATGCTTATCTTACAAGGTTTCAGAGAAAGTGAAATCAGATATAAACTTGTTCTTGCTAAAGTAGCCCTCATATACACGTTGTATTTCCCCCCTAAATCATTAGCAAAGACAGGCAAAATGAATAAGCAAAAATTGTTCTAAAATTCTGCCTGAGATTAACACCAACATCACTGGTCTGTAGTGTCTGAAATCACCTTTTCCAAAAAGTAGTATGTTCTCTTTTTTATGGATGATTCCTACCCATATATTTTGTCTTCCAAAAAATTATAAATATCAATTCTCTAAAACATATTGAGCACATTTTTTTTTTCAGGGTGGAGAGGTAATTCATATTGATCTTGACATCTGAATATTTGAAGTATATTCTTCACTACTTCTGTTTCTATTTACACTTATTTTCTTTATAATAAAAATTAAAACTAAATATTTTTCCCATGAAATAAATAATATTCATTATAACAAATTTTAAAATACGGTAAAATAAATGTAGAAATCTTTTTAATGATGTCAGTACCTTTTCTAGTTATATTTTATTTTTCTTTCTTACTATATATGTGTACCTCCTATCTTGTTTCATATCTAGTAAAAATCTCCAGAGTTTCTCCTATAATGTGACAAGTGTGTCCTAAACTTTATAGGGAAGAACAAAGACCCAAAAACAGTCAAGGAAATTCTGAAGAAGAGTAAGTGAGAGAGTCAAGCTTTCCAGATATTGAAACATATATAAACCTTTAATAATTAATATTGCTATGGAATGGACTTGGCAAAGAAGTGGTCGGCATTCAGAGGGTTGGAGAGTCAGGTATTTTATTATGCTGGTGGGCCCAGACGAGCTAGTGGAGAGAGTCAAGCTTTCCAGATATTGAAACATATATAAACCTTTAATAATTAATATTGCTATGGAATGGACTTGGCAAAGAAGTGGTTGGCATTCAGAGGGTTGGAGAGTCAGGTATTTTATTATGCTGGTGGGCCCAGACGAGCTAGTGCTCTAAGCTCTGAGCCCCGAGTTTAGGTATTATGGGGTTTATGTAGGCAAACTCTGCCGGGTTTTAGGTTTTACTTTCTCAGCATTCATGTAGCTAGTACAGTAATATGTTTCATTTCTCAGCATTCATGTAGCTACTGCAATAAGCAAGCACAGTTTACAGAAGCGGGAGTGCAGAGCAGTTGATTATCAGTAAAGCTTGATACCATAAAGGCAGAGCAAACTACTGAAAGAGTTAATTTTGAATTTTTCCAATAATATAGTATGACAATTGGTATAAGTAAAAGGTTAAAAGGACAAATGGAATAGAATAGAGATCTCAGAAACAGACTGTGTTTGGAAATGTGATTGAGACAAGTAGCTTTAAAATTTAGGGGGAAAGGTTAAACAATTTGATGAGAGAGGTAGTATAACAAAGTACTTTAAGTTCACGGTCTCTGATTTCAGAATGCCTGGGTTCAAATCCCAGGCATTTGAACTCAGCCAACTTAGCCGCTTACTAGTACTGTGACTTGGTACAGTGTCAATTCACTCACCCCTTTGAGTTTTAGTTTCTGCATCTGTAATGAAGATTCTTCTTTCATGAACTAAGAACCTGGATATGCTGCCCGAAAACAAAATTGGCTTGTCAACCAGGAGATAAGGGAACTCTGGATAGGGAACAAGAAGAGACCCCAGCCATATAAATTCTGACAAAAAGAGCTTTATTCTTTTACTCTCTCCTTTTCTTCCTTCTCTTTAAAGTGACTGCCAGAAAGCTTGGTTAGGATTTGGCACTCTCATTGCAGCTGCAGTTGCAGTGGGCCGCCACATGCCCCCAGGCATTCCGCTGGCCCTCCAGCGGCTCCATCACCAGCCCAGGTGCACCTTGACTGTGTTGGGAATCTTTTGTTTTGCTTAACTTCTAAAAGAATGGGCCATTTGCCTGAGGCGGTTACTTAGCAACTGTTTGGTCTTCTTTAAAAGTACTTTTCTTTTAGGCTTCCATTTCTATCTGGATTTTTGCTTCTCCCCAAAGAAACTGTTTAGGCAATTGAAACCCTTTTCCCTTGAGCCTCTATGGCTTCTCTTGTTAAAGTTTTGCCAAAAGACTCTGAGGCCTCATGAGAAATGCAGCCATGGCACACCCCTGACCTCTTTTTTGGATCTGATGCCTTCCTCTTGGAGCTCCAAGAGTCAAATGGTTTTGGCTCTGTTCATTGGCTGAGCCCTTGGCTCAGTAACCCAGTTAAGGAAATCCTATGGTAGAATTCTATGATTCTGTTTGATCTCAGCATCCATTTCTTTAAAAAAAAAAGAAATCTTTCTGGGTCTCCTCTGACACACTCAAACTCCTTGAAAAGGCTTGCTGTGCTTTGCAATGTTACTTCATTTACAGAGACATGATTTAAATCCAACTATCCTTTTTAAAAAAAACTACTGAGTTTTATATTTTATCTGTCTCATAATTTCTAGTGAGTTTTGTATTTTATCTGTCTCATTACTAACATTTTAAACAAAACCGACAAGGTCTTTGTTTCTGTGTTTATGTCTGCATGTGTACATATGTAAGCTGTATGTTATATCATCTACATGTTCATGTCTATTCATGTACTTCTGTATTGTCTACATGGCATCAAATTGGTTCATAAATAATGTGCGCTGATTAACTGGATAAATGCAAATGCTTTCAAGTTCATGTGACTTTAGTTTTGGGCTCCACATGGCTGCCCTGAATGCCACATGGCTCTGGATGCTACTGATAGGTTCTGAACATAACCGGCACCGTTTTAGGCAAGGCCAAGCACAAAATGGCCCCAACCCCCCCCTCACTTCCCTTTATGAGAAACTTCATGATTTCTGAGAA